TTTGAAACTCGAATCTCGTGTGTATCAGATGCTACTGACGGTTGTGAGTGGTCCAACTTAATGTATTTAGTAATATTATTTAGTAAATTCAAGTGATTTTGACCCGTAGTCAGCTGACATACATGTATTAGTCTATGTTTACGTACCAAATTGTTGTGCCGCAATTCTGTCTACCAAGGATTTTTAGCACGAATTCGCTCGTTTCCTGATAGATATTTCATGAACGGGAAGGGCTAGAGACTTGGGGTTGGTCTCATTTTGAAGCTTAATATAAACGTGAAATAGTGATAAAAGTTTTTTTTAATTGTCTGGCCAATTGTTTTCACAACGGCCCGGGAAATGAATCCCTTGCTCGTAGGCTCGAATCTGGAGTTTCCGGCCTTCTCTTAACTTATAGTATATTTTTAAAGGGGGTCATTATTTACATTTTTTTTGGTTTTTTGACACTTTTAAGATGAACACAGGTTTTTTATCAATCTGGTCATATTTTTTCTTCCCAGGTCCGATACTCGTGCCTGTGGATAAAATTACAAAAAAAAAACAAAACAAAAAACAAGTCAGTTTGGTTGGTCTATCATGTATGGCTTATAATTTACTTCTTTAAAATCCTATACACATGGATAAAATAAAGCATCATTATTACATGTAAGTGATTAAAGTATAAATTTTGACTTTCTATGACGCACACAGGTGCACGTTCGGTTACTACTGCACTTAGACAAAAATTGCAATGACTATGTCACTAACTTAAATCTATCCGATTTAAAACATTGTATAATAAAGTAAACATGATAACACAGCAATAGTCAGAAAAATAAGATAAAGTACAAACATTACAACACCTGTCAACTAATTAAACCTAAATTAGCCTACCTTCCGGGTTTTCGGACATTTCAATTTTAATACCACAAAGGAGCTGAAAAACACACAAAGGACATTAATTAATTAAAACAACAACAAAAAAGAATTATTTTTCAAAATAAAAGATCTATGCATTTGGCTTTCACCAAAAATGAATCACAGAAAAAGTACAGTTTTATTCAAATTAGTCACTTTGATTTTTTGGCACGTATATTACGTGTATTTTTGAGTTTTGACTGGGACATACGGCGATTTATGATATAAAAATTCAGCTTTGTGATGTTATACATGTCCCAGGTTTTAGCAGAAATATGATTATTTTTGAAATCCCCCTGGAACGTGCAAGTGGAAAAGACCAAAACAGATGAACTTTTAAAGAGCTACTGTACATAGTGTTGGGGAGATGTAAACAAATATGTCTTTTTACTAGATAACATATCTAAAGCAGGTATATTATAATCTATATACAACTCATTTAAATAGTAAATTGGTTCATACTCGATAGTTAATATAACGAAAATAGGAGCAGTTGCCCATTGGGGTGTCTGCAGTCAACAAATGGATTGCAGGTTCGATCACAACACGGGCATATTACTTCCTAAAAGGGGTTTGAAAGTAATAAATATGAGTTGAAAGAAAGTAGTTCAAAATCGAGCTTAACTTTTATGAATATGTTTAAACAAAACGAAATTAAACGAGTACATTTGTGTATTATTTTATTCTAAAATTGCAGGTTTTCAACGCCATTTTCACGACACAGTCGTGATATTTATATTTTTATACATTATTGCATCAAATTCATTACATTATTTTCATTTTCAGTAAAAGAAATCGGTTTTGAAGTCTTATAAATTTGTTATAAAGGTTTTTTTTATCTGCTATATGGCTGAGTATAAACGTCTAGGCAATATAGATTTCAGCGTTTACACTGAATCATATAACCTGTTTAAGATTTTTACATGTACATTGATACTTAAAGATCCTGTAACACAATTTTTTATGGTTTTATATCATAAATTATGATGCTCAAATTAAGATTTATCTATTTTGTAAGTTCCAAAAACATTATTTATAAAGATATTACCGAATTTAATATTTCATGTAAATAAAGGGAGGTAATAAAAAATTAATTTTCTATGAAGACTAAGTCAATTTTTTCAATAAGAAATGAAAGCATACATTTTAATGATTACATATAATATGTACAAATATTTGCAGTACATAGTTTACATATTATTCGATGTTTGAAAATTGTTTTATAAGCATAATTATATACATGCATGTATATATATAATTTTATTTAATTTGAACAAAATTTGCTTGAAGCAATACATGCCAAACGAATTAAATAATAATAACAAATAATAATAAAATCTTTATTTAAAGAAGGTAACATACAAACTTTACACAAAAAGAGAACATGTATACTTATTTTCTGATTTAACAATAACAAAAGGAAAGAATAACTGTTATAAAGAAAGAAAATCACATGTAGATCTATACAAAATGTGATTTTTTTTCGTACAAACATAAAATCAAATATATTCTTTGATGTAAAGGTAAGACATTTTCATTCATCCAACTGACACTCATATTAATCATAGCAATAATAGAATTAAAACATGATATTATCAACAGTAACAACAGCATCAATATTAAGTGGCCAATAATTCATCATATATCTAATTATAAATAAGAAAATGATTTTTCAGCTGTTTTTGAAAGATTGTAATGTCAAACATTGTTTGATAGTAATAGCTAGGTAATTTGTTCCAAACACCAATGCTAAAATAAAAAAACAGAATCGTTTAAATAATAAGTATGAGATCTAATTTTCAGCACGAGATCCAATTGAACAATTGAACGTAAATCATGTAATTCATTGTGAAGGAAACTGAAAATTTCACTCGGATATAACGGTGCCAGATTGTTTAAAAATTTATACACAATAATCGCTGTTCGGTAAAATTGAATTTCAGCCACTTAAGTTAAATAAAAAAACTTAATGTTGTTGAACGTATCAGTCGGTTCAGTATTATTTTGGCAACTCTTTTTTGGATTGAATTTACTTTATTGAAGTATGAGTTTGTGCCTTTCCACATACCGTACAACAATAGCCAAGCACTGGGAGGATGCACGCGTTATAATATACAATTTTATCAACTTCGTTAGTAAAAATATCTGATAAAAAGAAAATAAAGGCTGAAAATGATATGTTTTGTATTTCTAGTAAACAGTCACCGGATTTGTAAAGTGTAAAACCTATGCAAACCTAAATTAAGATCGTTGCTGAATAAAGATGTATCATCGATATAAATAAAAAAAAAGTAAAATTCTAAGAATAGATTATTGAGGAACTCTTGATTTAACAACTAAAACGTCAGATTGTAAACTACTTACTCGAACTGCATGTTTCCTGCTTGATAAAAAGGAACTAAAATAATTAGAGGTTTTCGAGAAAATGGTATAATTTCAATTTGTATATCAATATTTCATGATCGACAAGATCATACGTTTTTCTTAAATCAAGGAAAATTGCGCCTATCATTTTATCATTATCAATGTCTTTGATTCAGGCATCAATTAATCTAAGTTAGGATGTATAACAGGAATTACTTTTCGAAACCCTGATTGTCTGTTTGTATTTTTTTTGTACTTTGAAAAAATGCCTATATGTCGTTCAAATTATTTTGAGATGGTGAGTAGAGTTGAAAGTGGGCGATAATTTTCAGAAAAGTCTCTACTCCCTGGTTTAAACACATGCAAGACACGAGCTTCCTTAATATCATCAGGAAAATACCCATATGAATGTTATTATCTATAATAGATGTAATGCATGGAATAAAAAGTATCCCTAAAACTTGCCAAAATTGAAGAGCCAATACCATCAAGGCCTGTTGATTTATATGTGTTCAATTTTGAAATAATTTTCTTTACTTCCATTTTTGTTATATAGGGCATATAAAATACGCAAACAGATGTTAGAAACTTCTTTTCAAGCTGTTCCATACTTTGAGTCCTTATTCTCTTCAATAGCCTTGTTAAAGATTTTTTTAATAAACGATGCAACTTTGTTTCTTAAAATATTGTAGTAATCAAAATTTCCTTTGTGACACTTATTGTACAAAACCATTCTTTTAATTTCATCTGTAAACCAATCCAGTTGCAGCTTCTGTTTTAAAGATGAAAATAAAAGTTTTTATTAATTTAAAGCTATTTTTAATTCGACAATTCAAAAATTCCATATCTTGATCATAATTATTTGAAATCGCTTGATACAATACACAAATTTATTTGTTTTCTTTCCATCAGATACATATTGTACATAGTTTATTCATGATGACTGTGTCACATGAGGAATTCTGGAAAGAAAAATTGGAGTTCTTTACAAAACATTACATTTGGTAAGCATAAATATCCACGAGCATGATTGCGCATTCTGCATGTTACAAGTCAGATAATTATGATTTATTAGGATTGCAATACTAACATTATGTATATATTAGTAGCAAAAATGGCTATTTAAATTCCAACCATCATAAAGTACATTTATCATTGCAATGATAATAATAATATTTAATGCAATCTGGTTTCTTATTTTTAGAGACGCCCTCACAATCACAATGAACTGGAGCAGACATTTATGAAAGAATAGGTACTGTTTTCAGCTAGATCATTCAAAGCTGTGTGCTGCCCACAAAAAAAAACCTCACTTCAAAGACAGGACGCACAAATTATAATACATTAATAGAGTGAGAGAAAAGATCTTTAAACTGACATTTTCATAAGTTGAATTCCTACTTAAAAATATGTCCAAATAGTTTCTTAACATTTGAAAGACCTTGGTTGATCTATTCGAATGAAATCACGAGGAAGGTATTTTAATTTATAAGTCAAAAAGTCATGCAAACATAGATCTACATGTTTACAAAACATTTTCTAGATGTTCGTGAAAATGAATTAGAATCTTGAGATTTGTTATATAAAACAATGATATATTCTATTTTGTGATATTGTTTCCAAAATGGTAAATATGTGAATTGTCAATCAAAAATTGTAGATCTATAAGAAAGTTCTTTTGATTTGGTAACTATCTTACGCACTACAGTGATTTAGTATCGTGCATCCTTGACATAGTAATTATTTCAACTGGCAAATATTACGGTCACTGCAAGATTGGGGTCTGACTATACTCTAACAGTTGAGGTAAACATACGCGTGATAAAATCTCAACACTTGAGGAAATACCGCTGTAAACTAAACCGCTGACGAATTAGCTGACGATAGAGAGTAAATAGGAAACTGCTGGCCAGTTAAAATGGAAAACTGCGGGAAAATATAATATATTTTATATATCTAACTGGTTAGCACTTTTTATAATAAGTTTAATTGGTCAGCAGATTCTACCATATGTTTAACTGGGCAGTAGTTTTTATTATATGTTTAACTGGTCAGCAGTTCTCGCACGCTGAATTTGATGCTCATTTAAAAATAAGAAGGAAATTTTAAAAAAGCATTTTCTACTATATTTTTTTCGGGAGATGTAGAATCTGCTTTATTTACTTATATTACAACATAAATAAAACAATTCACGACAAACGCGCCATATTGCTTTATAAATCTTACCTAAATACATTAAATTGCAGCAATACTATGCTTATAACTATGCTAATAAATTATTTTTTACATTTTAGAAGTATCATTATTTAAAATTCAACGAAGTTGACCTCATCACGGATTTCCCGTAACCTCATACATTCTATTAGTATGTTCATTTTTAAACATAAAATATTTATGCAACAAGTGCAAATAATACTGCAAAGACAGCAAAGGGAAAGCTCCGCAAAAAACATTGCTTTTAGCTATGTATATGATATTAGATTATTATGATAATCATTGTGATTTTAAAATAGCATTATTATACATGGAAAATGAAAGCAGACATTATATTGCGCGATGAAAGTTACCGGAATCGGTTTTAAATCCCTTAAATTTTGTTACAACAGAATGGCCATTATGTTCAACTTTTAATCATACGAAAGGTTTTGTGACGTAAAAATAATTTATAAAGTATATTGTTTTTTTATATATATTTAAAGAAAACACCGACATATTAAATAGAAATGATTCCAATTTTTGACATGTATATATACTTGTCACGGTTCAAAACTGTTCACTATTTAGGGGAGAATATGGGTAAGCGGATGGATAGCTCAATCGGTTAAGCCGCGGTACGGTATTCCGAGGTCCGGGTTCGAGTCCCGATCAGCCTGCACATTTTTAAACTCCTCCGCTATATTGAAATGGGTACAGACAACAATGTGAAATTAAACTTGGAGTTTATACCATCACGGTATCCCCTGTTGGGCCCCAAATGTCACAAGGAGAGAAAAATGTGCAGTCTGGCCGGGACACGAACCCGAAAACCTCGGAATACCGTATCGCGGCTCTACCGACTGAGCTATTCGGCCGCTTATCACACCAATTCCCCTTAATAGTGATCAGTTCTGACCGTTGACATACTAGCTAGTACATGTATTATGACTCTCAAATTAGATATTTTTTATCACTCTCAAGTGTTAGGATTTCGCCATATCGACAGAATATATGTATTATGACTCTTCAAGTGTTGGGATTTCAAACATATAGACATGATCTATTGTATTATGTACCTCAAGCGTTGGGATTTTTAATGTCTAGACAAAATATTTGTATAATAGCCCTCAAGTGTTGGGATTTAAATGTCTACACAAGATATGTGTATATTGACCCTCAAGTGTTGGGATTTTCAAAATATAGACAAGATAAATGTTTAATAATTCTCAAATCGTTTGGATTTCAATGTCTATATAATATAAATGTATTATGTCTCTCAAGTGTTGGGATTTAAACGTCTACACAAGATATTTTTATATTGACCCTCAAGTGTTGGGATTTCAACATATAGACAAGATTAATGGACTATGTCTCTCAAGTATTGGGAATCAACATATAGACAAGATATATGTTTTATGTCTCTCAAGTATTGGGATTTTAACGTCTACACAAGATATTTTTATATTGACCCTCAAGTGTGTTGGGATTTCAACATATAGACAAGATAAATGTATAATGTCTCTCAAGTCTTGGGATTTAACGTTTAAACAAAATATTTGCATAATGACCCTCAAGTGTTTTGGGATTTTCAACAAATAAAAAAGATGTAAATATTATATCTCTAAAGAGTTGGAATTTCAACATATAGATGGAATATATGTATTATGTCTCTCAAGTGTTGGGATTTTAATGTCTAGACAAGATATTGGTATAATGTCTCTCAAGTGTTGGATTTTAATGTCTGGACAAAGATATATTTAAAATGCCTCCAAGTGTTTGGATTTTAACATATAGACAAGATATATGTATTTATGACTCTCAAGTGTTGGATTTTTGACGTCTAGACAAGATATTTGTCTAGTGTTGGGAATCAAACATGTAGACAAGATATATGTATTATGTCTCTCAAGTGGTATGATTTAAATGTCTAGACAAGCTATTTGTATAATGGTTCTCAAATGTTGGGATTTCAACATAATAGACAATATATATGTTTTATGTCTCTCAAATGTCGGGATTAAAACGTCTACACAAGATATTTGTATATTGACCCTCAAGTGTTGGGATTTCAACATGTAGACAAGATAAATGTATAATAATTCTCAAATCGTTGGATTTCAATGTCTATATGATATACATGTATTATGTCTCTCAGGTGTTGGGATTTTAACGTCTACACAAGATATTTTTATATTGACCCTCAAGTGTTGGGATTTCAACATATAGACAAGATTAATGTTCCATGTCTCTCAAGTATTGAGAATCAAACATATAGGCAAGATATATGTTTTATGTCTTCTCAAGTATTGGGATTTAAACGTCTACACAAGATATTTTTATATTTGACCCTCAAGTGTTGGGATTTCAAAACATATAGACAAGATAAACTGTATTACGTCTCTCAGTCTTGGGAATTTGATCGTCTAAACAAAATATATGCATAATGACCCTCAAGTGTTGGGATTTCAACAAATAAAAAAGATATAAATATTATATCTCTAAAGTGTTGGAATTTCAACATATAGATGGAATATATGTATTATGTCTCTCAAGTGTTGGGATTTTAATGTCTAGACAAGATATTAGTATAATGTCTCTCAAGTGTTGGGATTTTAATGTCTGGACAATATATATTTAAAACGTCTCCCAAGTGTTTGGCTTTTTACATATAAACAAGATATATGTATTATGACTCTCAAGTGTTGGGATTTTGACCTCTAGTCAAGTTAATTGTCTAGTGTTGGGAATCAACATATAGACATGATATATGTAGTGTTATGATTTTAATGTCTAGACAAGATATTTGTATAATGGTTCACAAGTGTTGGGATTTCAACATATATACAAGATATATGTTTTATGTCTCTCAAGTGTTGGGATTTAAACGTCTACACAAGTTATTTTTATATTGACCGTCAAGTGTTGGGATTTTAACATCTAGACAAGATATATGTATAATGACTCTCAAGTGTTGGGATTTCAATGTCTAGATAAGATACATGTATTATGTCTCTAAAGTGTTGGGTTTTCAACGTCTTAACACGATATTTGCATAATGACCCTCAAGTGTTGGGTTTTCCACATATAAAAAGATATAAATATTATGTTTTAAAATGTTGGAATTTCAACATATAGATAGGAGATATGTATTATGTTTCTCAAGTGTTGATTTTAATGTCTAAACAAGATATTGGTATGATGTGTCTCAAGTGTTGAAATTTTAAGGTCTGGACAAGATATATTTAAAATGTCTCTCAAGTGTTGGGATTTTAACCTCTAGGCTAGATATTTGTATGATGACCCTACAGTAATGGGAATTCATTACATGTATATAGACAATATATATATGTATAATGTTTCTCAAATGGTTCGATTTTAATGTCTAGAGAATATATATATGTATTTTGTCTCTATAGTGTTGGGATATCAACATAAAGGCAAAATATATATATTATGTCATTCAACATGAAGACCAAATATATGTATTATGTCTCTCAAATGTTGTTATTTCAAGATATAGACAAGAAATATGTATTATGTCGCTCAAGTGTTGGGATTTTAATGTCAAGACAAGATATTGGTATAATGTCTCTTAATGGTTGCGATTTTTAAGGTCTGGAACAAGATATATATAGAAAATGTCTCCCAAGTGTTGGGATTTTAACATTTAGACAAGATATATATTATGACTGTTGGATTTAATGTATGGGGCAAGATATTTGTATGATGACCCTCAAGATTTCCTTATATAGCAAGAATATATGTATTATGTCTCTATAATGGTTGGATTTTAATGTCTAGACAATATATTCTGTATTTGCCTCTTCAGTGTTGGGATTTCAATATTAAGACAAATATTTGTTTTATGTCTCTCAAATGTTGTTATTTCAACACATAGACAAGATATATGTATTATGTCTCTCAAGTGTTGGAATTTTAACATCTGGATAAGATATTTGTATTTATGACCCCAATTGTTGGGATTTCAACATATAAACAAGATATATGTATTATGTCTCTCAAGTGTTATGATTTTAATGTCTAGACAAGATATTTGAATAATGACTCTCAAGTGTTGGGATTTAAACATATAGACAAGATATTGGTATTATGTCTCTCAAGTGTTGGGATTTCAACGTCTCAACAAGATATTTGCAAAAATGACCCTCAAGTGTTGGGATTTCAACATATGAACAAGAAGCGCCGCAATGCGACGAAAAACCAGGTTTTCAACGACCAAATTTTGATGTGACAGTAATCAATAGGTCGAAGTGCACTGAAGGTATTGAGAAGACGCTGAAAATTCTATTGTAAGCAAATGACCGTTGACCTTGCTCCCAGATATCTAAGTGACAATCCAAAGCTGCCACACAGCAAGTTTGGTGTCAAAAGGTCAAAGCAAACTCTAGTTATTACGTGAAAACTGAATACATTAACCTTGATCAAAGACACCTATGTAGCAGTCTAAAGCTCTATCTTGATGAGCTACCCATTCATCAAGTTTGGTGTCAACAGGCCAAAGCAAACTCAAGTTATTAAACTGAAACTGAATTTCTATTTTTAGAAACAGTGACCTTGACC